GGGGCCGAGGGCCGTTAACGGTCGCCCCAACGGTCGCCGGGATGGTCGCTTAACGGTCTCTCGCTGAACCCGCCAGCTACCCCCTCCTCGCCCCTTCCCCTGCCACGGGGAAAAGAGAAGGGAAACAAAATCCAGCTTTACCTGGCAGCTGCCACCTCTTCCTCACGCTCCCGCTTGTGGCAAAATCTGTGGCACCGGGTGGCCGCAGGGCCTCTTCCCCTGAGGAGAGGGGGATGCGGCCTTGGGAAGGCAGACACCTTGGCAGCAAGATGACGGCCAGTCTGGCCCTGATAAGTCAGGGGCGGCGTGGCTGTGGCGCAGGGAGCTCTTCGGGGTGGCAGCGGGACCGGGTGGGCGGTGGGCAGCTGGGGAAGGCTGTCCCAGAGGAAGGCTGGGGGTATCCTTGTCAGGGAACTCTTTACTACTGCTATAATCGAAACCATTCCACCGCCATAAAATTGGCCTTAAAAAAAAAAAACACTCAACAAATCCCAGTTTTTGTGAGCACTGGGCAGAGTGTGGCTATCTTCAGTTGGTGGTTTTGCAGTGTCTAAAAATAGTGAAATTTCAATGTCAACGGAAGTCATCCCAAATTTCTTTCTAATTTGTTTGGACGAAGAGCTCCTTCCACCTGGTCAACACATCCTGCACCATGAAGGGATTTCTGCACGGGTCCCACACCAGAAAGTGAAGTAGAGGCTCTTTCACTGCCCAAGCCTTCAGAAGGGTGTAGGGGGAAGGCCACTTGCTTTTAAAAGTAGGAAGGAGTCACACACAGATACAGGGAGCTACATATTTTTCTAGGAGTTAAGGTGAAAGGAGGAGGCCTTCTTTAATAAGAGGAGAAAGATCTCCGTAATCAAATGAGAAGATGGGGAAGAGGGCTGAGCAATTTGCCACTTCTGCGTCTGGATGGTTGTTGCTGTGTCTGTCTCATCCCCAAAGACTATCAGAAAGGCGTTCCTCCACTTCTTCTTTCTTCTGTTTTAAGTAACAGGAGGTAGGGAAGGTCCATGTCCTAATTCAATCTTAAAATAGGAAGTGGGAGCTCTCATTGAGGGACTCATTCTCCTCATCTGGATGAAAGAGAGAACTCATCCCCTAGTAATAAATACGATTCCAAGAATGAGGACATAGACTTTTGCTGATCATCCATCTTTAATACAGCTATGTGTTGTTCCATATGGTATTTTTCAAATGTGACTCCTTCAACTATCTTGTAAATGCTACCTTTTCTCTCACAGGAAGCTCAAAACAGGGTAAATTCCCCCTTTTTCACTCAGATGTATTAGAAGTCTCCTCGGTAGCACAGGAGAGGGTCAAGCTTATTAGTTTTTTTATTGCTATATCTGTGCATTGAACTCAGTACAGAGTTCTGTTCCTAGCTCCATTGTTTAAATACAATTCCTAAGTACCACATAACCACAATAAAAGCCTCTGAGACTGAAAAAAACAATGAGGGTTTATTAATTTTAACAGCAGAGAACAAGCATATGCCCACATAAGTACCACATATTGCATTCTCCCCTTGATGCACATAGAATCTAATGTAGTTACGTGCCTGCAGGAGGGCAAAATATAGCCCAATAAAAGCAACAAATAGAAGAAAGGCAAATAAAGCCTTGCAGATTTGGATGTAAATCCAAATTCAAGCACCTTGCTCCACCTTCACTTCTATACTGGACTACACCATTCTTCTCATGTTGGTCCTGGATAAGTATTCCTCTGCAACATTTCTCTCTTGTGCACAGGCATTCCTATAAAACTGTTAGTTTCAGTGACAGATGAGGTTTATATAACTTCCTCTTGGCAGGGTGAACACAAGCTTTCTCCTTTCTTTCTTAGATTAAGAGAGTACTCTGCAGTTTATTTTGTATGGGCCTTTTCCATAAGGCTTTTAACAACAGAGAATTTCTCTTCTCTGCACAGCCATTAAAGATCTTGCACCATCTTAAATCTCACGGTGAGAGATTTCCCCAGTGAGGGTACTCATGACTTATTGCCATTCAGCTATATACAGTTCCACTTGACTCATGCCTTCCACCCCAGACATTGCTGCATTTCAGCACTATCATACACAAACCACATTATCTGCTGAATAGTCTACTGGGGATTTCTACGCTCAAGGGATTACATAATTGTTTACTAGTTTTATGTGGATGTGGTTATTACTTTTTTGACTCCAGTGGAGGTCAAACTGATTTAATCTCCGGTTGGCCATTTCTTCAACTCATGAATTGCCAGGCCAGACTAGTAAAAAGCAGCAGCACATTGTTTGCACCAAAACTTGGAGAAGTTCTATCAACTATATGGCGATATTTAGTTCACCATATACAACACACTTGTTAGCACAGCTTGGCAAATTCAGTTCTTCGGTGACTTCAGTACAGTCAACTTCACTTAGTGTGAAACAGGCTGATATGCTTGCCAGTCAAACACCTGAATGATATTGTCAGAAATGTGTTTTCATTTAATTACTTCATAATCCTATATTCACAACATGGCTAATCTTTCTTGAGCCAGTAAAACATAGGCTTCCTGCTTAATCCTGACAGCAATCTCTATCTTTCAGCAGCTACAGTGTTTCACCCCCATGCTCTTTATCATTCATGACTAGAGTTGAAACACCCTTGTCAGTTGTTTTTTATCACTGGACAGTGCTGTAATTGTTTCAAGTTTCTGATCCAAGAATATAATATGAGGGATCTTGCTATAGGAGATAACTCAACTATTCAACATTTTAGATGTAAAAAGCTCTTTTGTTTCAAATTAGAGGAACTAATGAAAAGTTGAAATCTATTTTTGTGATGTTTACAGCTGTAAAAAGTGCCACAACGTAGTCTTCTGATATCAGTGGTGTTATTTGCTAACTCACCTGAGCTGTGTAAATCATGTGATCAGAAGCTGTAACTATAACCATGCCCAGGCAGCAGCTCTTCCCCACACTAACCTGTTCAAGTTCCATTCTGTAAGCAGAATCTTCTGGTGTAGAAAGCATTTTACACGCAGAAGAACTGAGGGCCTAGTCTCAGATCCAGTTTAATTCCACATGCAGGTGAATGTTATAGTTGTCTTAACAGGGCACGTAGGGACTTTCAGCTGGTAGAGGAAGCCTTCAGTAACAATCTCACAGAGAGCATAGCTGAAGCAGGTTAACTTTCTCCAAAACCAAAACAAGGATGACTTGAGAACTATCAGCCAATCCCATTTTCCTTGAAGCTATATTGAACTTGTCCCACGTCACAGATAAGAGGAAACTTGTCTGAGGCTGCAGTCCTTAAGGGTATCTATGTGCTGCCCAATGGCCATGAGGTGGCATACGGACATATAACAGACAGTATGACTATGTTATTCCAAGTCACAACAATGGGAAAAAGATTAAGTTCCAATACCATGAGGTAGGCTGGTAAAGCCAGTAGCAATAGTGTGTACGTATTGTAAAGGATTCTGCTTCCATCAGTCACACTTGCGTGGTGGCAAGACTCACTTTTCCACCTTCTCAATTGCCTCCCATGATACCTGAGGCAGTGGCTGCAGGCTTTATTGGAGAGCCTTAAAAATCTTCTGTGGACTTTTATTGGACTTTCCTCTCCTCTTCTGAGGCACAATTACACTCTCCTCATTTTTTTTAAACATGCACTCAGGAAAGAAAATCTTTACAATAACTAATGTTTAAAGTACATGTCTATATAGTATGGATTAGGAAAATTATTTTCTTGCAATTGAAGTAGACTTAAAAATATATCACTAAAAAGGTACATGCCGTGATATACATGCACCTTTTTTTAACATCCCTTTGTATCTACCATACACTGTTCTATTTTTATTAAACAAGAGTTTTACTTTTTCCTGTGACTCTCATGAGTGCAGATTCAGCTTTGTTAGCTCTGCTGAGCAATTGTGCAGAAAAACTAGTTTAATCTCTGCAAAAAAGTTCCTAACATATTTGTCCATTTTGCAATAGACTGTAGTTCCTCTTCTCTAAAAATACTACAGATACAAGCTCTGATTTGACCTCTTTATTCACTGCATCTGCTCTTGGCCTCTTCTCTGTGCAATGCAGCCATATTTTATTGCAACAGTGCCTGGACTTTTGCAAGAATTTGCTAAAGGATTGCAATCATAAGTACTACAAGTATGTTATATGACAGGGAAACCATGGAATTCTAGCAGGCAAAGTGGCATCACCTACTTTGCAGATATTGCAACTGGTGTAGTCTATGCTCTCTTCCTTCTGAAGCATTTAATCCAATCTCAGTGATTTCAGTGCAAGAGAAACATCCATGGACGTGAAAAGATCCTACAACATGTTTTGCAATCCATTCACTAGCACGGATTAGTTATAATATCCTAAATCAAAGTGCATTGAAATATTGGCAAGTTTTTGGCAGATTAAAAGGTGATCACAGCTTATGGTGGAGATACGTGTAGAGCCAATAACCCAAGCATAACCCAATAACCCAAGCAAAAGAAAAATAAATAAATAAAGTGACTAATCAGCTACAGAACTTGGGGACAGATTTCAGGACCATATTTTTTCCTCCTTGAGAAACTAGCTGGCCTACAGGGCGCTAGAAAAGGAAAGAAAAAATACTTTTAAAATTGGAAAGACTTATGTTCACAAAAAGGTATAATCAAAAACAGTTTACATTTAAACTGAAAGGTCAGATCGAGGCAGGTATTCACAAAGTTTAACTTTTGCCTCCTGAGACTAATCCTCTATTTCTTCTGTCATCGGTAGAAAGAAACAGGTTCTCCTGAATGGTGAGTCAGAGCAGAAGCCTAACCTAGTCACTGTGAATTGTTTTCTGAAGGATGATATTGACTCTGCAAGGGCCTACAAAAAGAGGCACACTAGCTAAAATTTAGGCTTTTTGATGACTGCCCAGGACCTGCGGACTAACATCAACAAATAACTTTACCCACATGACTCAGTCTGTTCAAATCATATCGGAACATTCACCAATTTTAAGACTGCTTTAAGCAATGCAGGTAAAATGGGGAGGGGTGTAAATAATCCCTGCGTATTTGACAAATGCTTTCATTTTCTTATCTTTCTAGTGGTCATATTCATCATGGTAAAAACCATTTTACAATGTTTACAAAGTATCTTGTAAAATGGCAACCTTATTTTATAGTGGCTTCTATTACTACTGGGACTTTTTTCTAGGAATTACATCACAAAAATTACTTAACATAAAAATTGTAGTAAAGAGCACTCAGCGCTTAATGCCAGAATTAATTCTGCCTGTGCAGCATTCATTTGTAGATGGCAAAGGTCACTAGAATTAAATTTGTCCTCTGACTTCATTCTGAACAGGACATGAAACACTGGGATGAAGTCTTGTAGAGCTGCAGCCTGGAAAATATCATCCCAACAAGACAAAATGACGTCTTTTTGAATAGGCAAAAATAAAGCTTTGCCACTATCGAGCAACCTTAA